CTGACCACGGGCGGGGAGGGCCAGCCTGCTCCCGGGCGCAGAGCTGCACACAGGCGGGGAGGGACAGCTGGCTCCTGGGCTCAGCGCTGCCAGCGAGACGGGGAAGAGTAGGGAATTCTCTTCCCTGAGGTCTCATATTCCTTTCGCAGGGGGAGGCTGGCCTGATTGGACCCAAGGGGTACAGAGGAGACGAAGGACCCATGGGACCTGAGGTCAGTGTCCCTCCTCCTCGTGATGGGGGCCACGCACACCAGAGCAGTGACGGGAACAGTTCTCCCTGCCACCCCGCGGCCCTTGGAAAGCCCTGGCAGCCCTTGGAAGCGGGGACGGGGAAGCCGGGTTCCCTGCTCTGCAGGAACACATGGCCGGGCCAGGCCAGGATGGGAGGGGAACGTTTAACGTTTCTTCCCCAGGCCCCTCGGCCCGTTTTCTGAGCAGAGCTGCCGGCCGGAGAGCTGATCCCTGAGAGACCCTTAGGCAGAGCCCGTCTACACTGTGCTCCCGCCTGGCAAGCGGGATTGGCTCGTTCCCTGCAGTGCGCCTTGGGGGCTTGGCCCCAGCCAGGAGCGGATCATGGCGGGCCTGGCCTGGGGGACAAGGGACTGGGGGCGGGGGAAAGGGGCAGAGGTGCCGCAGCCGTAAGTGCCAGGCTGGGACGGGGGCACCGGACGGCGCAGGGACACGAGGGGCAGCTGTGTGCTTCTGAGGGGCGGGTGCTGGGCGCTACCCCCGTGACCATTTCGCCTTCTCCCTGCAGGGCCCCAAAGGACTTCCCGGACCCTCCGGATTGCCTGGAGACCCCGGCCTGATGGGCGAACGGGTGCGTGGCCTTCGCAGCACAGGAAGTGCTTAGCGGAGGGTGTCCCGGGTGCCACTGCACTGAGCCCACGGACCTGCCCATGGGGCTACGCTGATGCTACCCCCGTGACCATTTCGCCTTCTCCCTGCAGGGCCCCAAAGGACTTCCCGGACCCTCCGGATTGCCTGGAGACCCCGGCCTGATGGGCGAACGGGTGCGTGGCCTTCGCAGCACAGGAAGTGCTTAGCGGAGGGTGTCCCGGGTGCCACTGCACTGAGCCCACGGACCTGCCCATGGGGCTACGCTGATACCCCCGGCAGAGGAGCTGGCACACGGGTTCCCGCTCCCTGCATTGTGCACTGCGAATTCATTCCTGGGTCTGCCAGCGTGTGGCTCCGCAGAGACATCCCCGCGGGTGGCTCAGCCACAGACCCTCCCTTCGCCTCTGATCTCGGCTCTTCCAGCCGTCTCCTGTCCCGCTCCCCTGCTGCGCGTGGAACTGCGCCCCGCCCACTGCGACGCCACGCCAATAGCGCTGCCGTTCCCTGCGGCTATCCTGCTGCCCGTGGCCTTGCACTACGGCCCAGGGCCACGGAGGCAGCGAGAGCTGTCCAATCCGGGGAGGGGGAGCAGCCCACTTTCCGGGGCGGTCGGATCGATAGTAGGGCTGTCAGCCTGTCACCAGCCAGCCCTTCGCAGAGTCCTTTCCGTACGTCCACGTTCCCCCGGCCCCGCCGGCTGGGAGCCTCTCGCCTGGAAGATGCCTTGCACAGAGGGCCGCAGGGTCTGACACTTGGGGCTTGGGTAGAGCTGCCGGCTGCTCTCGCTCCCCCCCCCTTGCCACGGGCCATGCCCAGGGCGCCTGCTCTCGGAAGCGTGCCCATCGCAGAGACTCCAGCGGCGAAGGAGATCTTCGGGCTCCCCCACCCGCGCACTGCAGAGACGGAGCAGGCAGGCGGCAGGCGGCAGGGACAGGCGGGCCTGGCGTTGGAGCGGGATTAGAGCCTTAGAAGGGAGGCAGCAACAGGGCGCATCAATCACTGGCCCATCCTTGACAGCTCCCACCCTGTTCCTCCCCGCGGTGTGGCCTGTTCCTCTGCAGGAGCCCGGCCCACAGGGAGACACGGGGCGGGCTGGGCGGAGGGCGGGTGCCACATGGAGGCCTGAGCTAACTAGCGATGTGGTTTGCTCTCTGCACTAGGGAGCGGATGGCATCCCAGGGAACGGCACCGACGGTTTCCCCGGCTTCCCGGTGAGTTGTCTTTGCCCCCCAGGAGATGGCTCTGTGGCTGCCAACGGAACCCCAGCCCCTCCCTAACGTGTGTCTC